CTCTCTTCCTCGCTCCTCGCCTCGAACGCCGCCGATCCCCGCGCTGCGCACGCGCGGTGACCTACCCCGGCACGTCGGCTGGCCCCTGGCGAGACGACAACGCCGGCCTAGGGTTTCACGTCTCCATCGCTCGGCTGTCCCCGGATCGACCGGGGCCCGGCGTGGGTGATGCCGTGCCTGCCACCCATGTCGCGGGGCGGACTGCTTCCCGATCTCTGTCGTTGCGGGGCGGACTGCTTCCCGATCTCTGCCGTTGCGGGGCGGACTGCTTCCCGATCTCTGCCGTCGCGGGGCGGACTCTTCCAGGTGCGCTTCCCTCTTCCTTCCCCTCCCGCGAAACAGTTGTGCGGCGCGCGGCAGAGATATGGGTCGAGGAGAGAAAATGACGCTTATTTGCGTTCCCACTCCACGCCGACGCAAATTGGGTCTCTGCTTTGCCTACTCCGTTGGACCGTGCTTTTTCCACCCAAACCGACGTGAACGACGCATATTTATGTTTGGGTGCCATAATAGCTAGTCTGTTGGAGACGGTCTTAAAGCCTGGAAGTGTGTGTGTGTGGATCAAAACGTAATCACAAGACTAAGGTTGTTATCAGTGGTGAGTGTTGTAAAAGTCTTGTCAGCTCCATTTCTGAAGACGTGTCTTGATAGCTTGCATATCATTAGTAGTTCTTGTATACAATGATGAAAAGGCTCCAAATTTGTAAATGTTACCCTGTAGCCTCTTCTTTTTAGGGTTACATTGTAGCTGCAGCACCTTTCTCCGAGCAGTATGACATGCTTTGGTTGCTCACGCAGGGTAGAGGGTACTCGATGTAGAGGGTACTCGACTCAGGCCCTGTTTGGTTGGGCTGTGGCTGTGGGAAAAAGCTGTTGTGGGCTGTGAGCTGTGGAAAAGCTGCTGTGGGCTGTGAGCTGTAGAAAAGCTGAAAGCTGTTTGTTTAAACAAGTATAAAATATACCTTTTATCTTTATCTCTCTTGAAACAACTATGGAAGAGCTTTTTATTCCACCAATTTCGAAAAACAGAAAGCCAAAAGCCAAAAGCAGGGTCAAACCAGCTTTCAAAAATGAACTACGAAAAAGCAGCTGCTTCTGAAAAAGCACCCTCCAAAAACAGCCAATTTAGTTAGACTTTTGGCTTTTAGGGCCAAAAGACAAAGCCAAAAGCCCAACCAAACAGGGCCTTCAATGGGTAGGACAGTAACTCATGACATGTTGGCTTTTTTCCCAGTAAGCATACGAGTCTGATTGGCTTGGCGCTGTGGAATTATTGCGTGTCTCCGCCACCGCGTACTGTACGTGCAATAGGACAATCAACCGCGCAACAGGGGCATGCGTGCTGGTGCACAGGCAGTTTTCCAGATCGAATTCGTTGCCTGTTTTGTCTGGATCTACTACAGCTCCCCTGAACCGCCTCTGCAACGGCTGTCAGCTGGCGACTACCGAACTGCCACTGTGCGTTGGAGGGCAATGCAATGCTTCCAAGCAACGGGTGACGAACGGAGAGGACTGAGGAGGGTGGAGGGTGATGGCAACCAACAGCAGGGACGAATTCCACTGCCCGTTCGTGCCGGCGGGCGGCGTCTGGCGTGCAACCAACTTCCAAGGTCTCAACTTTGACGCGCAAAAAACAGGGATGATCTTGCCGATTTCACCTCCGGACAAGAGCTTAATTAGGCGGTTGGAAGGCGCGCTTAGTGCTCGATCCAGGAGCTACTAGTACTAGAAGCTGCATTGACCAGTGACCACCGACTGTTCAGCAATGGCACTGCAGACAGCACGCACTCTCTAATAGTACTAGCCGGGCTATTGCTGGTCCAGCCGGTCCGCCATGAGCATCGAGCAACATGTCAAACAAAAGTGGAACATGCCGCATGCTCTAATAGAACATGCCGCATGCTCCGCCCACGTGACGGTGGGTGCCCCAAAAGTGGAAAGGCTGCACGCTGCAAAGGCTGCCGGGAGTCTTGGACTTGGACCTCACCTCATCTCTTCGCCGTGAACCTGGCGCGACCATGTGCATGTGCTGACGTCCTGTACTGCTGCCGCCACCACCGAGGCACCGACTCGGATGACCTAATTTCGCGCGGAGCATCGGTTGGTCGGCTCGATCAGTCGAGGAGCACTCAGCAGTTAGCAGTGAGAAAATTGTCGAGCGGATACAGTTTACGCATTACAATGCCAGCGCGAGTGGTGCTCGTGTCTTGCACTTTTTTTACACACGAGTTCTGCTGGTGCCGTAACGCGTTTATTTTAGGATCTGTTGGAGTTGGAATCCACTATATTGGTACCTATTAAGCAGCTATGGAACCTAAACCTGCTAATAAAACTAGTAAGCAGAGCTCTAGCTAATAGGTAGTTAGTCTATTATTAATGTGTTTAGATCCACTGGCACTAATTTTAACCACTAACTATTAATATTAGTGGGTCTAAACTATGAGCCACGTGCTCCACGCCACGTGCTCCACCGTGGAGCAGCTTCGTAAAAAAACTAAAGTTTCTATAGCATTATTTTAGGTACTCTCACAATTCAACCTTTTTTTCATGGACCAGAGTTTGTGGAGCTACACCTGTTTAGCTAAAAAAAAATGGAGCGAAGGCGTCCACCTAATAAAGAGAAAGAAGGTGAATTATACGGAGGAGGGAGGACGCTGAATCCTGACGCGTTAGTTCGCATCTCAGTTGCCAGATCCAAACTTCCAAAGTACCAAACCAAGTACATGTAGCATGCTGGTCAGGATTGCTTTTGATTCAAGGCTGGTGCCAATGCTGGTAGGTTCGAGCCTCTGAGCCTCTGTCCTTGCAGCATTACATACCTTTTTTTATTCAGTATAATTTGACTTTCAGTTTCTATGTTAAAAGTAACATTTCTATTTTCTTTTTGGAGGAAGAATGGGACAGCTCGTAACAACAGGGCGACTGCTCCGTTCAATTTGCAGAAGTTCGGGTTCGGACCACAGGTCATAGGCCCATTTGCGGTACTGGGATGGATCGGCCCAAGCTAAACTGGGCCTGAAAATCAAATACGCCACAGCATCGATACCTACCCACCGGTCTGAAGTCTGAACCTGATGCTTTCTCAAAAAAAAAAAAACAAAGAGTCTGAACCTGATGCGACAGAACAGTAAAAAGTACTAGTAAAACTTGAGTTTATCTTTGAACCGGTTGAGATTATACTGCTTTATCTACACATTACGGAATGCATCTTAAATCAAAACGAGAACGCGCGGATATATAACTCTTCACACCTTCCATTTTGTAACAGAAGTTAGCTAAGCAAAAATAAAGCAAAACTGCGTTTGCCGGGAGTCGAACCCGGGTCTATTGCTTGGAAGGCAATTATCCTAACCGTTGGACTACAAACGCTGTGTTGAGTAACAGTGGTCAGTGACATTACTCAAAGGTGAAGAAGTTTCAGTACTACGCCAGACAAAGCCCTAGCAACTTGGTATAGTGGACACCGATTGGTGGTTGTCAAAGCGTCTCGCATGCGACGATTAGTAGTATCCAGGAGATAACAAGGGGATCGGTTCTGTTCTAAAGGCCTCTTTGTAGAGCTTCCAGCAGCTCCAACTCTCACTGACAATTTTACTGTAGCGCTACTATTCATTGATGCTGAATTTCTCTCTTCCCCCTCCCTCTCACAGAGCTAATATGAGCCAGTGAAGCTAAATATTTTGGCTCCAACAGCTCCCTTTGTGTCAGTGAGAGAGAGGAGGAGATGAGAGAGAGACAGATTTTCAGCCTGTTTGTTTCGGCTGAAACGATCGTGGATTATAAACCAAAAGTACTGCTGGCTGGTTTGGTGTGAGAGAAAAATACTGTTCTAACTTATAATTCACGATCATATACAATCGTATAAGCCGAAACGAACTGTCTGTTCATCTATAGAAGTTGTGTCAGCGTGAGCCGGATCTCATGGATCCGAGAATACAGATATGCTGCGGAATATGCCAATTTGGGTCTCAGTCCGTCAGTCGTGTGTGCTCCTGTATACGTTGAGTTACCCAAGCATTTCATGGAGGTGAGTCCATTCTAACGCTTCCACACATGACGTACGACGCATAAAAACGAGGGGTCAGAGGTTGTAGCGTAGCGGCAGGAGACGCAAGAGAGAGAATATTTTTTTTCTACCCCCGACCGGGGCCTGCGGGCAGGCGCGTATATGCGAGACGCTGGAAGCACGCAGAGGCCGCGGACGCGGCCAAGCCCCGCTTTTGAGGGGAGGGCGTCGGCACATGGCTGCCCTGCCGCGGCGGCGACGCAGGCCGAGCGAGATCGCGTGAGCCGCGAGGAAGTGGCCCGTGGGGGCCTGGAGGCCTTTCACGAGGGCACTGTAGTGCGCGCGCTGGGCGCTGGCTGCTATAGATGTGCAACGGGCCGGCACGACCCGATGGGGGTCGGGCCGACAAGGCACGACGTGCCCTACGGCCCGTGCCGCCATGGGCTTCGTGCCTGCCCGACGGCCCATTTTTCGTGCCGGGCCGGCCCAAGGCCCACTACACCGACAGAGAGAGAGAGGGGGAGGCCAGGGCGCCAGGCTGGCCGGCGTGCGTGACTCGCCACCCGTTCCGAATGGGACGTGTACTGTGCGCGCTCGTACCGGGCGTCCCGGGCCTGCTCGACCTCGACCTCGATCGTAGGCGTAGCCCTGCTCCATCATTCCCCAATGGTCCCCTTGTTTATCATGCAATCGAGGGCCACAACGGATCCAGCCATCCAGGGAATCCGCACGGACTTATGTGCAGAGCCAGAGCTGTGGTCATCGAAGTTACCTACCGTGGCGGCGGTGCATGGGCGTATGATGTGGTCTGCTCAATGCTCACGCGGTCACGCCATCGCAGTGGCACAGAAGATCAACAACATTCCTTCCTTGCCCATCCAACAACCAGCGTGACAAGAAAAGCGTCGACCTAGGTAGCTAGCCACCATTCCATGCTGCATTCCACTGCCCCGGGCACTCCTCTCGTGCAGCTAGCGAGTTCCCCTTCCAAGAAATGGCCGCGGCGGAAGCAGCCTCCTCCGCGCCAGCTCCTGAGCGTCGTCTCCTGGAGGTGGAGGAGGACGAGGTGGTGATCGACTTCAAGCCCAACGCCAAGTGCCGCGCCGACCTCCGCCTCCGCTCCCTGCACCCGTCCCTCCCCGTCGCCTTCAAGGTCCAGACCTCCTCCCCCGCTCAAGTTCCTCGTCAGCCCGCCGCGCGGCGCCGTGCCGCCGCTCTCCTCGGCGTCCCTCCGCGTCGTGCTCCGCCCCCAGCCGCACGCGCCGCCGTCCTTCCCGCGCTCCCGCGCCGACCGCTTCCTCGTCCTCTCCTCGCTCTCCGCGGCGCACCTCGACTCCGCCGTGGGCGGCAGCAACGACGACACCAGCGGCGGAGTCAGCGCCATCCGCCTCCGCGTGTTCTTCGGCGGGCCGTACCTGCTCCGCCTCGCCGCGGACGCCGGGGACGCCGCGGCCGTGCACCTCATCCTGCGCCGGCAGCCGCACCTGCTGCCGTTCCTGGAGCAGCACCAGGCCGCCGCGCCCGACGCCGAGCAGCAGTGGGCGCCGCCGCCGCTGCCGCTGCACGCGGCGGCCGCGAGGGGGGACTGCGGCGAGGTGAGGCGGCTGGGGCCCGACGCGCTGGCCGCGCGTGACCGCGAAGGGAGGACGGTTCTGCACGCGGCGGCCGCGGCCGGCGAGGCCGAGGCGGTGGCCGTGCTGGTGGACATGGGCGCCAACACGTCGGCGGTCGACGCGCGCGGGAGGACTCCGCTGGACGTGGCGCGCGAGAAGGGATACGTAAGCGATCCACTTCGAATCTACCTGCTTGTCCTTCTTACTGTCCTGTACCAATAACACTCGCGCATCGACTTCGGATGCTGTTTCTTTAACCGGACACAGATTCATTCGCCATGTGCAAACAACCCTTACGGTAAACCGCATATACTAATCTGTCACTAACGAACAGAACACGAGAAAGAGACACAAGGAATCACGCCATCGTCCAGCTTCAGGCTGCACGCAACTTTTGGCTTATGCGAGCCGCGTAGTTGTGCTCGTGAAGCATGACAGGAACGGGTCGAGTAGGACGAGCGATAGTATTAGCTAATGCAAGGTCATTCTTGTCCATTAGTGTGACGGCGGTGTTTGTTTTGCTGGGTGCAGCAAGAAGTGGTGGACGTCCTGGAACGGTGGGAGCTGGTGATGACGGCGGCGAGGCGAGGCGACCTCGGGAGCCTCGAGTCCCTGCTCAGCAAGCGCGCGGGCATCCGCGGGCGCGACCAGTACGGCCTCACGGCGCTCCACCTGGCGGCGATCAAGGGCCACTGCGACGCGATCGCCCTGCTCGCCGGATCGGGCTGCATGGACGTCGAGTGCGAGGACGTGGAAGGCCACAGGCCGCTGCATCTCGCCGTCGAGGGCGGCCACGCCGAGGCCGTGGAGCTGCTGCTCGACATAGGCGCCGACGTCAACGCCAGGACCAGGCGCGGCGCCACGCCGCTCGAGATGGCGGAGGCCATGGGGTACGAGGCCATCGCTCAGCTTCTGTGCGCTAGAGGCGCAGAGGTGGCCGCGGCACCGGCGTTGTGCGTCGCGTCGTCGTCTTCATCGTCTATATCGTGCGCCTGATTTGATTTGCTGGTTTCAGAGTTGGGAGACTGTTGGAAGGACACGAAACTGCACTGTACTGTATAGTCTAAAAATAGTCGTTTGTTCTGCTTTCTTGGGAGAGAGTAGCTCATTATTTAAGGGGACGGTCGATTGACTGCCTTTGCTATACGCAGTGTGCTGGTGAAAAAAATATCATGCAATTGCAGTGTGCCTTACATGTTGATGTTATGCTGTGTGTATTACTATGCAGGAAAACATCTACTGTTCCTCACTCATCATATTATTCAGCTTAGAAAATAAACAAAAGTAGCATTTGGCGTAACCTGGAACAGCAAACTAAACAGTAGTACACGGATTAATCAGTTCTTCATCCGAATACAATTCCAGTTTCAAGGTCCGCCAATATTTTGCTCTCACTATAAGAGGGAGCCGAAAGTTTTGCCCCATCTCACAGTTTGCAGCCAACTTGTACGCTCTCGCTATAAGTGGGAACCGATGTACGTTTTGCTCCGTATCACAGTTTGCAGTCAACTTTGTAATCATCAAATATAGCTACGGATAAAATGAACTAAGCACTCTCTCTGTACTATGCAGAACATCAGTGACAACTGAGTTATATTTTGTTAGACTATACTACTTATCAGAATGATACATGATTTAGTTCACACCTTCCCAACCAGCATTGAGATGTTTTTTCTTGGTTTTCTTTTAGGTATATCAATTCCACACGATCCGAGCACCATGTCCTGGTAAATGATTGAATAAGGGAGCTTCTTCCTCCTGCATCAGATAAATACAGAGTCAGTAACCGGTACTATTGCTGTTTACAATCGGCAATAGAGTAAACTTTCGGATTAAATGCTTACCAGTAAAAACTAGCACCAGCCCACCGGCTGAGGATAAAGACACTATGTCAACAATTCTATACAAGAACTAGAAAGAAGCAACGGCTTCAGGATTAACGCAAGAAGGCCTCTTTGCGTTGTAGTAGAAATGGGCAATCATTTGAACCAGCTCATCTGCAGTCCTTATCTCTGTTGAAATATGTGAAAGACAATCACGTTGTGACTTGTTAGTAGAACTCTTGGCAACTGAAACTGCAAGGATAGCAAAAGGTGGCAATTTATTAATCACCACCTTACTTTAAACAGTATTGGAATTTTATAATGCCAAAGTTATTGAAATTTTCCTTGTGAAAATTTAGTAAAGTTTCCTGTTTTTGAGGACTTTTCATGGAAAATAAATTGGGAACAAAATAGAGAAATAAATGAAGGGGCCTCCTTGTAATCTTGACATAGGAGAGGAAGGGCCTGTTTGGCTGGTAGAAACAACAAAAAACGCTGCCAAAGGATCCACATCTAGGTGTTTCAAAACAGAAACCGGCTGAAATGTTTCACCTTTTTACATTGCAAGTACAGGATAAATTACTCCAAGAACCAGTTAGCCAAACGATTTTCCAAGAAACAAAAACCCTACCAAAGAAACATTTCACGAAGAATTTGTAACAAAAAAAAACTGTTTTTAAAGAAACTGGGTCCCTACCAAACGAACCTAGAGGATAGCTCTGGAGATGGCATGGAGGGAGTTAGAGAAACAAGGATTATATCCATGCCCGTCACGCCCGCTATGTGAAAAGCTCCTCTGCCTAATCAAGCACAGAAGAAAACCATCCCCATCTGAGGCCTTCGACTCTTCTCTGTATCTCAAGGTGTCTGCCAAGTAACCTTCATCCAGATGAGTGCTGCTCCAGCAGGATGCGCCAGAAGCCCAGAACAGCGTCCATCCAAGCACTAGTGTTGCAGCCCATGCAGAGCTATTGGCTTGCATCTGTTCAATGTCGAGGACTGATGTTTGGTGGATTTCAATTGGGTTGGATTGGTCCTGTGTGTTGGTTCTAAACTTCTCATCATCATTTCGATCGCTGACTGTTTTGTGCATCAGTGTGACCTTGCACAGATTGAATTGATCACTGCTCCTCTTAAGGCGTATGCATTAGGCTGGTCATTGTGTATCCACGGTGGTGTTGTGCTACATAGCCTAGGTATCAACCTTGTCAGACGGCCTGCCAGGCTGCCACAGAGCAGAAGAGTGGTGTTGTATCTCCAGGATAAAATACTGGGATCCTCCAGCTACAATGGGGGTGTAATTGTTCTCTGGGATAGTGATTATTGACTTATCGTGCTTCACCATTCGCTGACTTTGACTGAGACTAGACTCCATCCTTTTGCTTATCAACGATGTTGCACTGTGAACTAGTGTACACCAACTAGTACATAATGCATATTATTGGTAAATCAGAACAGTAGCAGTGATTAAATAAGGCAGAATGGTGATTAGCCTGACAGTGCAAAGGCACAAAAAGTTGTCGAGTGGTCAAGTGAGATAACTTGCTGTCTCAACAAATAAATCCCCATGGATGCAGTAAGTTCCCAACATCTGTTCCCAGAGATAGGACACCATTTTCCTACAATCTGTAACAAGACATCAGACAAGGTTGAGGACCGGGAGATAGGACGCACGTGCTGGCCAAGTCCACACATCTCAGAGAAGAGCAATCAGAACTGGTCACACCAACAAAGAAAGCAGATCACAAGCCAACTGGATTGGAATCAATGCAAACCAATCCAACCAAATCAAATTCACTAACATTTGTCCACAACACTGTACTGGTAGAGCAACTAATCAGGACACACAAGTAGTGCCGCTAGAGAGTGAATATGTTGAGAGGTGCTCCCCTAAAATGGCGCAGAAAGCCAAGCATGAGTTTCATGCAACTTTCTTCATAGAAGTCTTTTGCATAGCAGCATGGATCATTTGGATTGGAAGAAAAGAAGCTCTCATTTTTCAGCGAACTCCTCCTTACTTTCAAGGCTGCAAGACAGGATTTCTCGGGTCTGTTTGGTGCATGACCTGGCAGGCAGCTTGCCTGCCAGGCAGCAATCCTAGCCGCCAGGTGACCAAATCCGACGACCTAGGATTGTTGCCTGGCAGGCAAACCTGCCTGGGCGCAGAAGCCAGAACCAAACACGCCCAAAGTTTCACTGCAGTATACACAGGATTGAAGGGCCTTTAGAATTGTCATTTTGTTCTTGAATTTCCTCTCTTTTTGTAGGTTGTAGCTGTTTCAGCCCTATGCTTCCTGTATAGATACTTTTCTTTTCTTCAATTGTGTAACAGTTTTGCACCTCTATTTATATATTTATATGTTTTTTTACAACAGTAGGAATTTCCTCTAGTATTTTTCCTTTTAAACAAAAAAGTGCTCCCTTGATCAGCACTGCAGGGTGATGTTGCTAGTGCAGTGATGCTGGGGCTGGAACAGAACTGGATGGACCTTTCAGCATGGAGACAAGACCTTCAGAGATAGAAGAAAATGGAGGAGGAGCTCCAATGGGAACCCTGTTCAGGAGCTCACCCTTATGGGACACATGGGCGCATAAATTGGGCTGGAAATGCATCCTTTGCTCCATTGTGGAGAGGATCAAGTCATACATCTCCTTTTCTCTCCAAACTTCTAACTGGAGTTTTCTCTTCCTCTCAAATGTCACAATGATAAGTAGGTCTCACCTCTACTTCTCTATTTTGTTTCCCAATTAATTTCCCGTAAGAAGAAAGGTAACCCTCAGTAAAATTTTACCGAATTCTCACAAGGACAATTCGAACTATTAACAAATATAAGGGGTGGATAGGTTAGGGTGTTAGTTTGACATACCTTTTTCTCTGTATAAGATCTTGTTTCCCCTAAGGAACAATAACTGTGGACATTCTCTTACTTGAAGTGCATATGCCAAATCTCTCTCAATATTTATATCAACTTTGACTGTCTGTTAAACAAATCAAAACTTAGGACCAGCACAAAAACCAGAGTAACCCGGCCAAATAATCAAAAGATGATATTCAAACTTACCCGAGGAGGTAAGCGATCTTTAGCATTCCAGTATACCTTAGCAGCCTTTTCCAATTCTTGAAGAAACTTCCAATTGTCAGCAGCCCTGCAAACCACAACATCATGCAGGGTTCAATACTAAACAATCAAACCCTCCTGCAAATAAACTAATAAATTTCACCCCAAGCATCGTAAGGAATTCCAGAAAGTGAAACCCGTTTTGCCGTTTATTTGTCAGTACCAGGACAGTTCTGAATTTTCTAGGCTCGTTTGATTCGCACTTTACAGACATCCGCATTTACAAATGCAAAGCTTAAATGGTGATTGCATTACACACAGCCTGCTCCAAGCATAATGCCAACAGTTTACGAATCAAATTAGACAGGGATGGATGATTTTTACCTGTTGTAGCGCTCGAAGACTAGGACGACTAAAGGGCTGGGGTGGAATGCGAAGCTCTCCCACTCCAAGCAATTGATTTCCTTGACCCACCCCTCGTCGACCTCCCCTTCCCAATCGATCTCCACCCCGTCCACCGTGACATTTCTGATCGAGTGCTTGTCGAAGTACTCTGACGCCCGGATCCCCCACCCGACATCGGCGTCCAGCGGCCAGCTCGGGTCCTCCTCTTCCACCACAGGCTTCTGTTCTCCCTCTCCCTCCCCCTCCTCGTCTGGTACTTGCTCCTCCTCGGCTTTCGGCTTCAGGATGTCGCCTTTGCCCTCGAGGACGTCGGGGTTGCGCTCCCGGATGGAGGCGAAGACCTGCTCGAGGCGGCCGCGGACGAAGTCCTCCACGGCTGCCGCCTCGCCACGGCGCCCACGGCGCGGCTTCCGGGGTTTGGTCGTGGGGAACCCCGCCTCGGTGGAGTCATCCGGGTTCCGGATGCGGGCCTCATGTGTGGGCTTCGGTGGTTCCGGGTTCGGCGTCGGCTTCGGAGGCCGTGAAGCCGAAGAAGACGGCGGAGGAGCGGATGAGGCGAAGATGAGCTTGCGGCGGCGGCCATGGCTGCAGCCGACAGGGTTCGAGCTGACGGTGGGGGTTGAGGGTTTAAGGGCGGTGAGGGTGGGGAGACGAAGCATCATCGTGGGCGGCGAGAACGGGCGCGAGTATGCGGCTGGGTTTCGCCGGCTGGCAGGTGCGCTCGTGCTATCCGAATGACGGTTTCTCCTCCGCCGTTGGTCTCGTGATCTTCTCAAATCCAACGGTACTGGCGCATGTAGCCTTGTGCACCTGCACGCAGCACGCATGACGAATGTGAGGAACCGCCAAAATTAGAGCAAATGGAGTTTTTCATATTGATAAAAAATATTTTAGTGAAAAAATCTGCCTCAGTAGTTTTTTTTTTCAACTAGATCTTTAAATATTATATCGTCCTGTATTCTTGATTTCTCATCCTCTAAAATAGAGAACTGAGTTTTCTACTTATCTATATTCCAAATAAGATATAGAGAAGTTGAGTTATAGGATCGTGATGCATCGATTTTTATTACGATGGCTCTCTCAATAAAGATTTAGACAACGAATTTTTTTTAAAAAACTATTTTGGAGATGCTATTGAGAGGATTAATTGTGACAGTAATTAACACATCATAAGAATGTCTCACAAGCAAAAAAAAATTACAGAAAGCTGCAGGCCATATATATAACGGCTCATAGGATCTTTTTTTGAGGGAAACCGGAGCTTCCTATATTAGCTATGCTCATAGGATATTGCAGTAGAGATTCAAGTGCATATCATAAGCCTTTTGAGTTCACGCAACACAAGATTTAATTATGGCTCACGCATACACATCGCCACATAGCAAAATCTCTATCTCTATATGACGAAATCAGGACCAAGCTCCGGCCAGGGATTGGGCCACGTCGCCTCCAATTTCTCGGCTGTCAGATCATGATCGGACCATCCAACTGCAGGCAAATGAGCTTGCACTTTTCTAGAGCCTTCTTCACCCCGGCCCGGCTCGACGAAACGCTGACTCCCGTCCTCGCGCCGCACACGAACCGTCCGTCGTAGAGCCACCACCTCCTGCACGGTCTGCACCGCCGCCGGTACTTTCGTCCGCCTGCCTTACCCTCCTCTTCAGTCTTCCCTGCTGTCCCCCGCGCCTGCTCCGCCGCTGGCCTGGCGCGTGCGGGCTCTGTCGCCGTGGGCCAGGCGCACAGCAGAGAGTCCACAAAGACACGGAGAAGGCGTGGACTAGGTGCGCGTGGCCATCGGCAGGGGCGGATCTGGGCCCTCGCGGAGGCGTTGCCACCTCGCCTGGCTCGGGGACGACGCTTCTCAGTGCCGCAGCTATATGTCGCGGTGGTGTCCGCGGCGCGTCCAAGGAGCCAAGGTAGAGCCGTAGAGGACGTGCCCCCCGTGTGCGGTGTGCGACGGAGCTTCGACGAGGGAGTACCTGGCCACCTACATCGGCGTTAAGGTTCTCCGGCAGCACCCACCACCATCTTGGATTACGGACTGGGCGTTAACACGATAGGGCCCATGTGGTATTCGACGAAATGCCCATGAGCTAAACGGCACATCCTTGTCTCCAATTCTCCATGTGTATGCCATAAATAAATGCTTGTCTAGACTGTGCCTGTGATCTTGTTTGCATTACTTTTATCCAAACCTCTTTGATAGTCACTGTGATGATGCATGGTGCGTCTGTCAAGAATGGTTAATATGGGAATGTCAACAAACTGATCCTGCTGCTTCTTACCTATTTGCTTTTCTAATCAGTTCAGGTAGCAGTGATTACAACTAGCATGGGAGAGTAATCAAATATGTGATAGTCTAAAAAAATCAGTAAATAAGAAATTGTTGATAGGTAGTCTAGCTTCACATATTTAATACAGAGAGCTAGTATGGGGTGACGATAAGCAAGTGCGAGATGATGGAACTTTCATGGTTGCTAGCCCTTTTGGCCTTGTTTGTAAAGATGAGAATTCAACCAACCCTAAAGAATGATTGGCATGATAAAGGAGCATGGGGCTCAGCTACAGTTAAACTCATCTTTTACAACACATGAATCATAACTTGCAATTTTTACATGCCGAGCTGACAAAAGGGTCAATAACATGGCTATAAGTTTTCTTTAATTGAATACCTCTGGAAATACTTGGATATGAATGAAAACAAGCTGATATTTTTCATTATTTGTTTTGTTTAGTGATTCTTTCATTTGAATGTTGCTCTGAGTGGTTATCTCCCTGGGTGGATTATCTTTTTTTTCTTAGTATCTACTTTTGGACTCATACAATAAATAATTAAATAGTTATACTTGCACTTCTCCATGACCACGAGGGTATTCAGAATTAAATGCTGACACATCTTCTCACATTATGCAACTGCAGGTGAACTCTCATCTTACAACCATGGCCTATTTTCAACAGTTGATTGTAACCTATTGCCTTCAGATAACATAGTCTGAAGCAAATGCATGCTTACGTACATCGTGCTAACAACTAGCAGAGTTTATCAATTTTTCAAAGTTAAAGAAATACCTTATGCTTTATTGGGTGAGCGGGAGCTCTCTGCACTGGGTACGTCCTTTTTTTTATTGGGTGCTTTCTCTGTAAGATATATGTTTATGTTTAGTGTAATATTATTTCCCTGTTTGCCTCTTCAACAGACATGTTAGTAAAGACTTTATTCCAATCTGAATAAGGGTTCAGTTAATGCATATGCTAGAAAAGGCGGTGAGCATGATAGAAAAAGCAGTGAGGGGATGCTAGAAAAAGCAGTGAGGGGATGCTAGAAAAAGCAGTGAGCAGAACGAGTTTGAGGCTGACGGTCAATACTAATCATTTTTCATAGATCATGCTTACATTATTATATATAGAGAAATCATCATGTAAATAACATCCATGTACAGTCACGTACTCCTATGTGCTTTCTATATCAAGCGTCAAGGAACTGCACTTCATGCACTTCCATGCACTATATCTATATGCTGATATCAACATTGTACGCATGATGTATATTCAAGTATCTTAGGATGGTAATTTGTAACATCTTAGTTCTAAGCTTTCCTATAGACTTTCACATACAAATAGTGATGCATGTAAAGGTTGTACCCCCAAAAAACATTGATCTTGTCGATACAATTAGGAAAATACAAATGGGCTTAAGGCTGATAAAATGTCAACAGCATAATTCAAGTGTGATATATAATACAAAATACAAAGGGCTGGTGTGCTCCATAACGGGCGCAGCAAAGCCGCGCCGGTGTTTCTAGTACATAGACTGTTTATGTCTAAGATACATCCATCATAAAGAGCCACAGGCCATCACTCATCACATACCATGGTCCTCGGGATAGAACTATCCAGAGATGAGCTAGGGCTCACTTGCAAAACAACTCATCAACAGTACCGTGAATAAAAGTAGTTCGCAACTCATTTTTCTCTATTATTAGCAATGATAATCTGCACAAAATTCTAGATTAGCTATTCATCAAATGCTAAGTGCACAATTTCGAAAGGGACAAGGCCTACAACCTATGGCTTAAGGACTAACCTTTTTTTTTAAACATGGCAGGAGCTCTACCTCTCAAGAAAGGAAAGAAGTTATATGTACACAAAAGCCTGTAGGTCCGGCTGGCCCCACCAGGCACACACAGGAAAATAGGAAACACCTAGCTCCTACCCCTCTTGGGGGGGTTACACAGTGGAGGCTAAGTAGGGTTGTTAAGCACCCTAATGTGCATATTAATGTCCTCCTTGGCTTTCAAGGCCACTTGTCGAGCATCCATGGCCGCAACTTGGAAAATCCTTCCATTTCTTTCTTTCCAAATATTCCACATCGTGTAAATCACTACCCCGTTGAAGTGTCGTCGTCGCTCCTTTGGGACTTTGGTTGCCGCTTGTTCCCACCATGTTCTTATCTCTATTGGTTGGGTCTAATGCCGGATTAAATCTGTGTCAAAGTGCTCCCATGCCAACACAAGACACCAAACCTCTTTAGCTACAGGGCATATCAAGCACAGGTGAAGGCCACTTTCCAATGGCCCATTGCACATGACACAGTGATCTTGATGAGGCCAATTCCTTAGTTGCAAATTATTCGCCGTGAGGATTTTGTTCTGGATAAGGATCCATGCAAAGAACTTGCATTTATTTTCTGTGTGAGCTTTCCAAATGAGGTCTGGACGGAATTTTCTGAAGCCCCCTTAGAACTGAATTTGGTATGCCGAGCGAGTTGAGTATTTTCCATCAGGCGTCCATTTCCAGACAATGGAGTCTTGCTCTTCCAGCTGCAGCTGAACATTCTGTAATCTGATCCAGAGGGACACAAATTCTTCCACATGGGTGGCCGTTGTGATCCTACCCCGAAGTGCCCGAATCCAAGAATGGGTGTAGAGTTCTTGCTGCACAGATTTGTTCTTCCTTCTTGCCAACTCAAAGAGATGCGGCGCTAGGTTCTTGGGAGCTTCTCCATCTACCCAGCTGTGATACCAGAATTTTGTTTTCATGCCATCCCCAACTGTGACAATGGTTGACGCGTTGAAGAGTAGTCTGTCAACCGGTTTGCAAGGAAGTTCGGATCCAACCCACGGCCTGGAGGGGTCCGTCCACTCCTGTCATAGCCATTGCAGTCACGGTGCTCTCCCGAATTTGTCCAACTCAGGCACCCCCAGGCCTCCAAGGGCTTTTGGCTTGGAAACTGACGACTAGTTGATATGGCAGTGACCTCCATTTGCATTCTCCTCTCCCTTCCATAGAAAGGACCTGCGAATTTTGTCAATTTGCTTCTTGGCCCAAGCGGCGAGCGGGAGATAGTGAGGTGGTACGTACGCATGGAAGAGAGTACTGAAGTAACCAACGTTAGCCACCCTGCTTTGTTTAGAAGCTTGCCCTTCCAACCTGGCAATCTTTGGCCAGAGGTTGGACGTGCACTTTCTGTAGAGGCCTCACATGTAGCTGCAGCCCAAGGTAACGGCAAGGAAAGGTTCCTCTGGCCCCAGAGAAAGCCGAGAGAACCTAATCAAGGTCGATGTCCTCACATCTGATCGGATGGATTGAGCTTTTGTCCATGTTAATGTTGAGACCCGATGCCTTTCCAAAGGCTTCAAGGATAATTTTGACGGCGTTGATG